AGTAACCCCAACTATATTTTGTTGTATCTTTGTGGAGAGTTTAAAATGTTAGGAAGGGACATAATTGTCTGGGAGAAACAGGATTTGAGAAGGATGTTCTAAAGGTCACAAATAATCCAAACTGGGTAGCTGGAAAAAGACAAAGACATGGTTAGTTGCTTTTAGGAGGTAGGAGCCAAAGCATTATTTTCTTGAGGAAGAAACATATACTTTTCTTGTTTGGAACATGGCTCTACATCAATTGGAACTTATCTAAGAGAAAAAGGGAGTTTAGAAAGGGGGAAATAGTTAATAGAAAGTTAAATATGAAAATATCAGTAGTTAATTTTAAGGGCTTATCATTCATTTTTTGATCCAGTAATTATCTATGAGTATCTACTATATGTCAGACATTGTGCCAGATGCTAAGAATACAGTAATAAAAAGATAAACCTCTCTCTGATCTTTGAGAACTCCCAGTCTAGAAACAAAGAAAATCATGTACTTTTATGATTTCTTTAAGTGTTTAATGTTCACAAAATTTTCTGTGATAGGCAAGCACTTATGAAATATTCAATGAGTAAAACCTGGATGTCACTCAAAAATTGTTTGCCCTGATGTCAAAAGATATTGTCCCTGATCTTAATAAACAAATAAAAACCTAAAAGAAACACTTCTATTGAGCTCTTTCTGTGGGCCAAGCAGTGCTAAATGCTATATGTTGATTTTTTAAAATTGAATCTTTGTTATAACTCTATGAAATAAGTACTATTGTTATAGATGAGGCCACTATTTTGAAGAAGCTAAGTAAGTTGGTCCTGAGATTCTACAGCTACTAAGTAGCAGATGTAAAATTTGAAAGGAATAGTAGACTCCAGATTAATCTCTTAACCTGGATTCTATTGCCTTCCTGATATGGTTGGCAGGTTCCCAGGATCTGAAAGTTTTCTTACGATTTATGCCAGACTAAGTCATTAGTCATCAAATGGAATAGAGCAAGATCTACTTACTGAATTGGCATTTTTGCCCCAATCAAAAATCATAAACCTGCCTGTCATATTTCCTATTGTAAATTACATTTCTTGAATAAAACAAATTCTCAATGTAAAAATAGGTTTAGTTGTTTGGGTTTTTCTAAATCACTTATCATCAATTATTTTCCAATAATTAGTTGAACAAATTCTACTCAGTATCCTGTTTATTAAATTGATAACAGTGTTTGGAGTAGCTTTTGTTTGTCAAGTACAATTTTAGGCATGGAAAATACCACCATAAAAAGAGTACCCATGTTCTCATGGATCTATATTCTGGGCAGGGGGGCGGTGGAGAGGCAGTAATAAGGAGACAAAAATAAATGATCTATCATAAGTAGTTGCATTTCTATACGCATTTCTTTGTTCTTTTATTATATATTTTACTCTTTTTATCATTTACTGATTCTTGTGGTTACAGATTTTGTATTGTTATTTTAAATGAATAGCAGAAATAGATTCTAAAGCCCTAGTCTGTTGAAGGGTATTACAGTTTTTTTTCCTTTTTATTAATTTTATTGGGGTGACATTGGTAAATAAGATTCTATAGGTTTCAAGTGCACATTTCTATGATACATTACCTGTGTATTGCACTGTGTGCCCACTGCTCAAATCAACTCATCTTCCGTCACTATATATTGGACCCCTTTACCCTTTATTACCCCCCCCAACCCCCATTCTCTCTGGTAGCCACCATACTGTCGTCTGTGTCTATGAGTTTTTGTTTGTCTTTGTTCATTTGTTGCTTTCAGTTTTATATCCCACATATGGTATTACAGATTTTTAACCTGGAGGAATTTTAAATAACCATCGTATCTTAAGACTATTCTGGATAAATGACAAGTTTTTAAGAAAAAATTATTTTGTCAACAATAGCATGATTCATTACTAATAAACTGGTTAGGGATAGAAAGTAAATGATATTTTAATTAGCAGTTGTGGCTGTTCGTGAATTCTCCAGCTAGTGGGTAGTCATTTCTCCTATTAAGAAGAGGGTCAGAGCCTATTTTAGATGAGAGGTGTGCAGATTTTTCTTCAGATGCTAAGCCCTGAAACTTCTGAGAATGTCATTTTAAGAAGTAAAAAGGTAGAACAAATACACTGACAAAGGAATATAACCCCATAGGAATGATATAGTTGGCATTTAAAATGATTACTAACTGTTTTGGAAATCTTGTAAAATAATAAAAATTATTTTGTTAAAATATATGAAGTCAGAAGACCAATGCTACCATTTGCCTGTACTTGTGTTTGGATGGGCCAGCAACCTTCTAGGACTGGTTTGTAATTTACAATATGGATGATACTGAGGTATGAGTCAGATTAGCCCCATTTATGATTGTAAATCACAAGCATAAGGAGAATGTAAATTTGCCAAATACATTAAAACAAGCCATAGAAGTGATGTCCTGCCTGCTCGAATCAAATCTGATTTATTTGCATCTATACATGTACCAGCCACACATGGAGTTAATTCTTTTTTTTTTTTAATATGTCTTTATTGATTTCAGAGAAATGAAGGGAGAGGGAGAGAGACATAGAAACATCAATGAGGAGAGAGTCACTGATCGGCTGCCTCCTGCATGCTTCCCACTGGGGATCGAGCCCGCAACCCGGGCATGTGCCCTGACAGGGAATCGAACCCCCATCGCCTGGATCCTAGGTCGATGCTCAACCATTGAGCCACGCCAGCCGGGCAGAACTTATTTTTATTTTTATTTCATGAGAAAGGTGGCTCTATTTGAAACCAGGCCACTGTTTTACTGGAGGAGCACATGAGTGGGATTCCTTTGTTGTTCATTGTTTGTGGGAATGGGGTTCTTGGGGTACCACTGAAATAATCTTCAGAAGCCCCATGGGAGAATGAGAGGTTGTAGAAGACTTTATTAGCATGTAGTTACATTCCTCAGTTTCCGATGTCCCATCACCTTTAAGTCAGTCCTAAAAGAGGGGCAGCTGTGGGTTCAGCAAAGCCAAAAGCAAGACCAGTGTCCAGAGCTTCCCTTCCACGTTGCAGCCGGGTGTAGTTCAGCATTCGCGCCACATTTAGTCCCTGAATCTGTTGTGTGGGGCCCCACATGGCCCTGAGCCACATGGACGCAGGGGAGCGTGCCCCCTGCCACAGGAGAGCCAGGGACCCAGAGCGCCAGAGTGAGAGAGAGGGAGGCAGAGACACAGAGAGAGAGTTCTGCTGTGCAAAACGTTTTAGTTTGATGTAGTCCCATTTGTTTATTTTTCTTTTGTTTCCCTTGCCCTAAGAGATATATCGGAAAAAATATCACTACAAGAAATATCTGAGATTTTACTACCTATATTTTCTTCTAGGAATTTTATGATTTCACAACTTACACTTAAGGGTTTGATCCATTTTGAGTTAATTCTTGTGTATGGTATAAAACAGTGGTCCGGTTTCATTTTTCTTGCATCAGCCCAATTTTCACAACACTATGTATTGAACAGACTGTCTTTACCTCATGGTATGTTCTTGCCTACTTTGTAAAATATTAAATGACCATAAAAGTGAGGGTTTATTTCTGGGCTCTCTATTCTTTTCTGCTCCATAACACATCCTCTGCACACTCCACGGTGCGCTAGGCACCCAAAGCCAGGTCTCTTTCCGCCACCGTTGTACCCCTTTGCTCTCTCACCGCCCTTCCCCTGGCGATCACCGTGCTGCAGTCCTTGTTCATCTCCTTGGTTTGTTTTTCCCTTTTTAATCCCTTAACCTTTTTCACCCAGCCCACCACCCCCTCTCCCCTTTTATTAACTCATGTCAGCCCAATTAATCAATGTCACACCAATTAATTCAATTAAAAAGTAAAATTAAAATAAAATGTTATCTTGGAGATGATTCCATTTTAGCATGTACAGAGCTGCTTAATACTTTTTCATGGCTGTATGATATGACATGGTATAGTAGTACC